AGAGAGAGAGAGAGAGAGAGAGAGAGAGAGAGAGAGAGAGAGAGAGGGCACTTGGTGTCTAAAAGGTTCGCCATCACTGCCCTATAACATATCAGTCAAATGATTGTCCAATCTCTTCTTAAAAACTTCCAGTGTTGGAACATTCACAACTTCTGGAGGCAAGCTGTTCCACTGATTAATTGTTCTGTCAGGAAATTTCTCCTTAGTTCTAGGTTGCTTCTCTCCTTGATTAGTTTCTATCCGTTGCTTCTTGTCCTGCCTTCAGGTGCCTTGGAGAATAGCTTGACTCCCTCTTCTTTGTGGCAACCCCTGAGATATTGGAACACTGCTATCATGTCACCCCTAGTCCTTCTCTTCATTAAACTAGACATACCCAATTCCAGCAACCGTTTTTTATGTTTTAGCCTCTAGTCCCCTAATCATCTTTGTTGCTCTTCTCTGCATTCTTTCTAGTCTCAACATCTTTTTTACATCGTGGCGACCAAAACTGGATGCAGTATTCCAAGTGTGGCCTTACCAAGGCATTATAGTGTTATTAACACTTCACATGATCTTGATTCTATTCCTCTGTTAATGCAGCCTAGAACTCTGTTGGCTTTTTTGGCAGTTGCAGCACACTGCTGGCTCATATTTAAGTGATTGTCCACTAGGACTCCGAGATCCCTCTGACAGTTACTACTATTGAGCCAGATACCATCTATACTATACCTGTGCCTATAACTTTTCTTGACTAAATGTAGAACCTTACTTTTTTCACCATTGAATTACATTTTGTTAGATAGCGCCCAGTGTTCAAGTCTGTCAAGATCCTTCTGTATCTTAAGTCTATCTTCTGGACTGTTGCCTATACCTGCTAGCTTGGTGCTGTCTGCAGATTTGATGAGTTTGTCATCTATCCCATCATCCAAATCATTGAGGAAGTTATTGAAGAGTACTGGGCCTAAGACAGAGCCTTGGGGTACCCCACTGCATACTTCCCTCTATGTAGATGCAGTTCCATTGAGGACTACATGTTGAGTGCGGTTGGTCAGCCAGCTACGAATCCATCTGGTGGTGATGCTGTCTAACCCACATTTTTCTATCTTGTCAAGTAGTAGGTTGTGATCTACTTTATCAAATGCCTTACTGAAGTCTAAGTAAATTATATCCACAGCATTCCTCTGGTCAACTTTTTTTATTTTTTATTTTTTTTAAAACAAGTTTTATTAATTTTTGAATTTTTACATCAGAGTGCTTAGGAAACAATGTGGTGATGGGGTAATCAATTATCCAAAAGCAAAGTCATAACATATATAGCTCAGATTAACTCCTTAAAAGTTCCCTCTCTATTTCCCTCAATTGATATAACATATTCAAATTAATACATTTCTAAATAAAATTCAATCAATCAATAGGATTATCAATAACATTTTACCTATACAAGTCCAAATCCTGTTTTTAAGCTTTACTAACTTCCAATTACCATATTCCAATTTAGCCTTAAATAAGCATATTGTTTACACTTTGGGTATCCCTAATTTCCCTTGTTTCATAACATAATAATTATAATGTCTAAAATAAGCATATTATTCCAACAATTACACTTTTACATTTCCCAAATTATTCTATTTCTTATTCTATACAAAGTGATTATCATACCTAAAATAAACATATTATTCCAAAAAAATACATTCTTACTCTATTTCACATATATGTTCTATTTCTTAGCCTAATAGCTCCTCATTTAAAACCTTTTTCATATTACAATTCCAAAGTATAATCTAACCCAGTGGTTCTCAACCTTTTTAATGCCACGACCCCAACCGGTCGTAAGTCGAGGACTAAACCGGTCGTACGTCGAGGACTAAACCGGTCGTAAGTCGAGGACTACCCAACCGGTCGTAAGTCGAGGACTTTCCCTGCCCGGGAGCGCCTCGCATGCGTGGTTCCGCCCCCTGCGCCGGCCAAGGCGTAGCTGGCAAGCGGCAGAGACGGAGCAGGCCGACCACCAGCTGGCCCAGCCCAAGGGAGGTAAGGCACCCGCCGGAAAAGGGGAAAAAAATGGCGGACAAAAAAAATGGCGGACAGCCTTGCTTGGCGACCCCCGTGAAATGGTCAATCGACCCCAAATGGGGTCCCGACCCACAGGTTGAGAACCACTGATCTAACCAATAATTTTCATCTCGATTATAGGTCTAAATCCTAAACATTAAATCAATCCATATCTCTGAAAAGCCTTTTTAACCCATTAAATATAATTTTGAGTCCCATTTTTAAATCTTACTCTGGCTTTCTTTTTGTGCCAAACAGGTTTCCATAACAGAGTGTCTCCCTTCATTCCTAGAGATAACATTTGAATCAAGGGAGAACATCCCATTATCAGTTTTACAAAACTGGCTCTTTTGTAATTAATCCATTGTTGCCCTAACAATTCAAATCTCAATATTTGGTTAAGCTGAGTAGCACAGTCGGTTGTGTCCAATATTATAATTGGTAGGTGATTATCAAAGTTGTCACAGTTCTCAATAAATCATATTTGAACATTGATTCCTGTTGCTTTTGAAGTTGCCTGTGGTTTAACTGAAGTCACTTTTTGATCATCAAAAGTCTCAGTGGATTGTACATAGAATGGTGTAAAGTCTTCTTTTGTGTTGGTTTGTTCCTCTTCTGTTGTTTTTTGGCCTGGAGAATAATCAATTGGAGTCTGGAGATCAGTTTGCAGTTTTGGAGCAACATCTTTGGCTTCCATTCTGGAATTCATTTGCTCAGTAGCTTCAAAAAAAATTTCCAGTATGAGTTTATAGTTAAGATGTAAATCAGGTTCCTCCATCTCATTGAGTTGTACATGGTGTTGCATATAGGCCTCTTGAATATTAATCTGTTCCTCCTCTGCTATTTCTTGGGTTGTAGATTGATCAGTTAAAGTTTGAGCTTTAATTTGTACTTCTGAGATAACCTCTTTCATTCTAGAGTCCATTTGCTCAGTGGCTTCAAGAATTTTTTCCAGTATGAGCTTATAGTTAAGTTGTGGGTAGAGTTCCTCCATTTCAGTGGTGATTAAAAATAGTCCTTTAGTCTTTTAGTGGAGGCAATATTTAATAACAGTCAGCC